CAAGTGTCTTCCTGGTTCAAAGTGACCGCCCTTCACGTCCAATTCAGGAACTACTTCACCGCCTTTAAGTTCCCGGAGGGGTTGCAATGAAAAAGCTGGTGCTTGCTTGTTAGCATTTGGAACGGGCAGCTAGAGATGTGCAGTAAGTTGGATAAGCTGATAAGCTTGATGTGATAAACCTTCGAGGGAATCAGCCTACGGCATCCTACGCCCCCACAAGGGTCGTAAGCATCTTCCACCGCCGCCGCTGCAGCATCCGGTCGGAGCACCCGGTCCAGCGGAATTTGCCCTGCTGTGGGCATCAGGATGTAGTACCGCGATTGCTCATCGAACCTAAGATCTGGGCATCAGGCAGCGGTTGACCTGGGGTAGGCCTACAGGTGGATGGGATGTAGCCGCCAATGTAGCTCTTTGGGGCAATAAGGGCAAAATGGCTCAATCAAACAAACCGTTTCTTATATGTCTTAAGGCAAATCTATATGTATAATATAATAATTATGATATAGTAGATTTCCATCTATCTATCTATATATATATATATATATATGTTAGCTCTCGAGCAAATGATCAGCCAAGTAGGTGCGATGACACGCAACATTGTGGATCATGGTCTGGCAAATGGGATCAACTGGGTGCGTAAACCGACTCCAAAACCCTCCGTTGCGAGCAACTTGGGGAAAAAGGTGCCACCTCAACTCCAACCCCCGCGTCAAATCACCGAAAAGATCATAATTTGCTGGTTCTGGCAGCCAAGAATTAGTCAAAAAATGTCAAAAGGAATGTCGAGGAGTCATGGCCCGAATGCTTGAGATGACGTGAACACCTGAAATCACTCCATGGCGATCGCGGAAATGGAACCTGGCGAAGAGGAAGACCATGAAGACTCCTGGAGCACCAGGAGTTCCTTCCAGATCTTCCAGGAGTTCCTTCCTTTCGGTGAGGGGACGCTCTGGGAACCCCCATCCTCCATGAACGGCCCATCCTCCATGGAACTTCTAGCATGAGTGCTCAAAGGAGGGAATGCTTCACCATAAGGACGTAAGTCGATCTGCTCTTTCCAAGGAACTTGGATGGCATCACCAAGGGCACACATGCCATGCGTGCGCACGCATACCTCACAGCCTGGCATCTGGGTTTCGGCAGGAAGTCCTAGTTTGTCATACAGTCAGCTCTTTGTTGATTCTCTGACTTGGAAAACATACTTAGACTAGTAGATTTAAGGGGGGGGAGCGGTTCGGCACTCAAACCAGCCAAGCGGAGGCGGTCCAGGGGTTCGTTGAAGCTCCACCCATCCTAAAACACCCACCCACAAGCCTGTTGTCAGACCTGTGATATAAGGCCCTCCTAATGGACGGCAATTCAGTTTGTAGGTGAAGCTTCCACTGTTACAGAAACCACGGAAATGTTGCCAACTGGCTTCTTTTGGTTTCACAGGCGTGGGGGGGTTCTCAAAGCACTGGAGGTTTGATTGCATTGTCCCTTTAGTGACGGCTATGACTATGCCACTATGCCCTAGAATGCAAAATCTAATCATTGCTTTAAACTCAAAATCGCTTCCTGGCATGCTGCAAGGACCAAACACCTGAAGCCTTCCACCCGTGGTGTTGCTGTGACTTCCCGGCCTTGGTCGCATCATCCTCGGTGTCAACCGCGAAACGTGGCGGTTGACGTTCACCCGTTTCGGGTCCAGCGGTGCGTCGACACGTGGGTCAAAAAGACGGAGCTTTTGTCAGAACCGAAAAACCGGGGTGAATGGTTGACATCCAAATGGTACTACCAGCTTGTGCCACCTGGATCTCCAGCTGAAGTAACTAGGATGATAGAACGGATAGAACACCCAACACCTCCCAAATACCATCAGTTGTACCACCAGAACCTCAGTCAGGCAAGTCGGAGAGCTGTCGGCCAGCACCATGGATCACCCACCAACCCACCCAGAAGGGGTATTGTCACACACGTTCTCGTTTGTTCCCATCGAATGGCGCTGTAATTGTGCCCAGTGACTCCCTCTTCACGCGGCCTGAACCCTTTAGCGTCAGGGGCCACAGCGACGGTACATCACAGCTGCGGTTCTCGTCTCGGTATGTCTATGAAACTTTCGGGTAGCCTGTACCATCTTGCACACTCCCAAGGACTGGCAACGGTCAGGACCTACCCTCTACTGCCCGCACTCGAAGGAAAAATCAACTATTTTGATTAATATATATATATATATACTTTGTATATATATACTTTGTATAATAGTACTTTCCCACATCTATTGGCTCACAGGTGGGGAACAAAGAAAAGGCAAAAAATGCCAATTGGGTGAGCATAAACATAGGGAGACCTCCCAGTTCGACCCACTGGAAGAAGGAAAGCAGAACAGTCTACCATTGGGGCCAGCTTTCTCCATATTATACACAAAAACATGCCCTTGAACATCTTGAACATCATTGATCATTGGGGTTGAAGGGGATGACAGGGTGTCCGACGTTCTGCCGAAGCATTCTGCACCGTCAGGCACCCCTGGCATCGTGCCAAAGCTCGACGCTCAGCATGGCATCGTCCTGACCCCAGAGCTCCTCGGCCGCGCACGTCGCGCACGGAGAATCGCATCTCCGGAGAAACCACGCACCCCTCCAGAAGGGCTGAAGCCCCGACAAAAGCTTTAAAAGGTCCAAACTTTAAAGGTCCGTTTCAAGAAGAAGATGGCACAAAATGTCCAAGTTTGGTGGTTTAGTAGTGGACCACTTAGTGGACCCCCCATCTGTTCAAGACATCTTGGGGTGCCAGTGCCATCTGCGCTGGAAACCACTATCAAAAGGACCTGGCTTTCACCCTAAGCATCCACTGCGCAAAGGCCTCCGGCTGGGGGAAAAAGATGCAAAAAGTCTGGTTGGTGCACATGTTGTTTTCGATGTGTTCATCTCCACTCCTGTCCAATCAGCTGTTAGCAGGCTCGCCCGAACAATCGCCCGAAGGTTCAGTACCTTCCACCGTTCCGTTCCCGAAGGTTGCCAGTGGTTGTCAAACCCCGGAACCTCCCATTGGGAGGGGGTGTGGAAGGCACCTGTTGCACCAGATGTGGTGCAGAAGAACCTCAACTCCAAACTTCGACCGAACTCCGAACTTCGATCTGGTCAGGCTGAGTGCCGGATGCCAAACCGATCCGAAAGCCCAGCTTCTTCCCGATCCCACGCACTCCGCGCGACAATGTCACATGCTCTCACCATGCGGGTTCCACCATGGTGCGTTCGGAACGGTCCACGGTGCGAGAAGCTCGTGGGGGCTTCAAACGTTTGGTCAGTGACCGCTGGATCTCGCAGCACATAAGAATTGGAGAACCCCTCCAAAGGACAGGTTTGCACCCTTGAGCTTGGAAAAAATACAAGTATATATAGAAGGAATATATAAGAGTGGTCCACAGGTACGTTTTGAGGTGTGCTTCGTGACCAATTTTGCGGCAAGTGTTCGGTCAATGACATCGGTGGAAGTTCGATCGAAAAGCACGTAAGTGACACGGTCATGCAGTTCGTGTTTGTTCGTGTAGTGGTTCATGTCAGGTTCGGTCAACATTTCTTGTGTGGGTGCCCATTACATTGGCAAGATTGTGAGACCTACTGTGAGACCTCTATCGAACTCTATCATGTCCCAATGTTCTGGTTGACTTTGTTGTGGGGAATCGTTCTTTTGCGAGCCCCTATCGTTCGCTGGAGTCTGGAGCATCCCCAGCATGCGAATGTAAGAGCCTTTAAAGCATTCGTAATACTCGCAAGTTCTGATGGTGTGGATGACAGATGGTCTTGCCTTCGGGCATCTTCGGGCTGCGCTTCCTGTATTGCAGGATTTCTTCAAGCTGCCCAACTGTGGGGAAGTCCAATGGAGAAGCCGGACAGTTCCAGGTTGTTACCAGGGCACCCAGAGGTTTTCATGCGACTGTCACTTGAACTCATGGCAAACACCAGCCCATGAGAAGCCACCACTTCTACCACCCCCGCAATCGTGGGAAGTGGTGGCTTAGTTGGTCCATGTACCTCCGTCCTCACCCGCTCTTCCCCGAAGACCCTCCACCCTCTGCTCCCAACCTCCACTCGCCCTCCACCCTCCACTCGCCCGAGCGGCATCTTTCTCGCCGAAGGCCTTCCAGCGCATGCCGATGCCGCCGCCCACCGCGCCCCACATGATCACGGAAGAGTCCACCCTGATGGGAGGCCGGAGGGTCAAGCGATCCCGCTCTGTTCTGGTGCAGAGGAAAAGGGATAAAAACGCACATGTGTAGGAGTTCAGTATACACTAAGCTCATTGTCATTCATTGTTTGAACCATTTTTGGAACCCACCCACAGAGGATTGAAATGGCTACTTCCCTTGTGAACAGCATTGAACTGTCTTGATCACCGGACCGCGGTTAGATCCGAGAGGTCTGGTGAAGAAGTTTCGGTTTGAGCCACAAAGGAGGGGTGCCTACCGTGCCTACCGTTCTTGGTTTGAGCCACAATGTCAGTTATATTACATCCAAAAACTGCGGAAAGATGCGGACATATGGTGATCGTCGATCGCTTTTCAGGGGGCCCTTTGGCTTTCGCAGGTTCTTGCCCAATTCCAAACATTATTGACCGCTCTTTGCCAAATGAGTCATCGCACGTCTTGGCAGTTGCTCACATGGGTTGATCACAGGGCGCAGCATCCTGCAAAGTCGTAGGCATGCAGCATGCACTGCACGGTTTAAACCTAATTAAAGAAAAAGAGAGAGAGAGAGAGATCTGAACAAAAATGACCAAATTGGTGTCCCACTGCGAGGTAGTGTCAATTTGTTAGAGCACAAGCTTCAGTTCGTAACAACGACCCATTCAAAGAGGAGGCTACAAGCATGTGACCGCACCATAGGGACCCTATCCAACGGATTCTACCACTATTTTGATGATTTATATTATATGAGTTTCCAAAGGATTCTAATTACCTGCCATTTTGAGGATCCCCCAAGCCAAAGCAGAATCTGGGCACCACTCTGAGTGGCAGCTTCCCGCTTCCCTCGAGCCCATGCTGCATTCCAGGCGGCTCAGGCCGAAGACGGTAGGGAAAAAGGTCCACGAAGGCATTCGCTGCAACGTAGTTGCCTCGCAGGAACCGAGAAGGATGAGAGGTAGAAGGACGTGACCTGAACAAGGACCCGTCTTTTTCAGTGTGAATCAACCGATCGGGTGCCCGTGGAAAAACCGAGTCGGGCCATTCTGAGACCCGTGGAAAGAATGTTCCAACTTACATATAGTTGATGATTCAAGAAACCAATCCCAAACAGTTCCTCCCAACGCCTCTTTTTGCACGGCTTGCACCCTCTGTTTCATCTGTCCCTCCCACCAAAACACATTGCACGTCGGGACTGGACAGCGACCGGAACAAAAGCCCACGCTCCCCCAGCAGAACCTTGGCCGAGATTGCCCATCATGGTGCTTCCAGCGGAAAAGCCCACCACCTTCATCAGCTTCATGGTCGTGTAGGCGATGGGTCCCGACTGTAATTGTCTGGGGCCCACCTGATTCGTCGAGTCCTGGCGCGGAAAATCAACATCAAGAAGGAAAGAAAAAGCGGCAAGTGACTAGACCAGAGTGGGAAGTGAACAGCAAGACTCTTTCAATCTTTGCGTTTGTCCCAACATCTTTCAAGGACATTCACATGTTGGGCACTGGGCACTGTATGACATATGATGTTGTGCTGCGGGACCTCTGGTTGCAATCGCTGTTTATATATAAATGTTGTTGCTGCATTCTTATCTGATTCATCTGACAATCCCCACGGATTTTTGAGGCCTCCTTATGGAATCGTCACGAATGGTATGGAAGGCTCCCTTTTGTCCCGCAGAAATCACCAAAATGCTGGCCACATCCAGGAATCGTCAGGAATCCTGACGTTTTTGTTGGCCATTGCCTTTACACAAAACATTGAACAGTTCTGTTCTTGGAACAGCCTGAAATGTTCTACAACAGGGGCTCTGAGAAAGCTTGGCATTGTTTCTGAGAAAGCTTGGCATTGTCAGGCGGGGGGCACAAACTACCCCACCATGGATCCATCTGCTTCGAACATGTCCGCGCTACTATTCCAGCCGTACAGTAACCTACACCGAAAAAGATAGATTTAAAAGAAGAAAAACACAAACCTTCAGCTACTCTTCAAACCTTTCAGCTACCTTCAGTAGCAAAGGTGCAAATCTTTCAGCTACTCTTCAAACCTTCACACCTTCACGGCCTGGCGTGTTGCCACCTTCCCTTCTCACCTCGGCAGCCAGCTTCCTTGCGGCCTCGGCTTGCCTTGGAAGTGAAGGCATGGCGTGAAACCCGCCGGCCCCGAGAGTCCAGGACCCCAGGAACATGACTCCTTCGACTTTGAGTTCGTGAGGTGTTGCATTTCTCCGGACTCTGGGGGACAAATATTATGGGATCATTCGGAAGTTCAAGCCTGGGGTCATCCCGTGTCGGGTGTGTCAATCGGGAGACCAGGCAACGATCGCCTGGAAGGTTCGGGGAGGTTCGGGTGCACCAGTCCACCCAGCCTTTCGGCTTGGACCAGCCCCATGAGCCAAGTCAGGGAGACTAAGGTAGGTCATGGTAGGCCTTCCCCAAACCATACTCACGCAAGTTCCAAGAAGCTGGCCTTCCCAGGAGCTGTGAAATGGTCATTCCTGGATTGACCCTCAATGGGTCTGCTAGATTTGTTTTGCACTGTGAGAGGTTGTTTGGAGCACAAAAGGAGCAATAAGCCATCTATACTGCCATCTATTATATAAATCAAGAATAATGAATGCAGTGCCCTCTCAGAGAACTGACTTGTCTGCTAGATGAAGGTCAATGAGATGCTCATCTACCGGCCCACAGGCAAGCTGGCGAGCCACTGCATCTCCATCTGATGACACCACAATACCAATACACTCCGGCGACTACTCTGGCGAACATATCACATGGGAGTGGAGTTCACCCCTTAAGCCTTAGTTTGTAAGGGAAAGTAGTCTTCCAAGGGCCTGGGTTGTGGAGGAAAATCGTCTTCCAAAGGCCCATTTTCAGGTTCCATTTTAATCTTCCCGGATGTACCAAGCGGTACATAGCACAATATGTTTCTGCTTCTCCTGCTGCTACTTATCTTGGCTGCTCAGTGAAAACGAGAGCAGCTCCAGAACTGGAAACACAAACTTCAAGTGCATTCGCGTGCATTTCTCAAATGAATGCCTACACTTGTTGGACATATACTGTTGCACATCTTGTAATCAACACATATCAACACCCCATGGTCGCAACTGCTTTACATTCATAGTACAACATCCTCTTACTCCAGCTCTTGTGCGACCCTTCGCGTTCAATCACCCTGCTTGGACATGCTGTTGTTCCACCTTGCCAGCGGACCACTTCGACGGATTTGTTTTGTCGCCGAGCTACGCGCTGTACTCCTGCTGCATCTGCGCCTCTCCCAGTGCATCCTCCGCCGCCATGCCCAGCTCCGTCCGACGCGCCGGATGTGCATGGGCCGCGGCGCGCGGGTCGCGGGCCACAGCCACCTGCGAAGTGGAGAAGTGATGAACCCTTGGTTGGGTGGTTGATTCACCCACCACTAGTTCAACCTAAGTGAATTCCACATTGGAATGCCCAGCCGCCCGAAACGCAAATCCGGACACAGCTCGAGCAAATGCAGCAAAGCAGCAGTGCAGAGAGCAGCTTATTTAGCAGTGCCGACGACAGCTCTAGCAAAGGTACAAAATTGAAAGTATGCATAGTATGCGCTAGTGTATAGTGCTGTGAAACGAACAAAACGCCATAAAGCAAGGTTTCAGTGTAAGTTACTGTATATGGAAAACATGAAGCGACACGCAAGGATTTCTGAATTCGCGTCGTTTTCGGGAACATTCGGGAACAATACGATCGTTTTCGGAAACTTACAGAGTCTGCAGGCTTCAGTCTTCAGCCCGCTGTCGGACCTCCTGGCAACTCTCACAACATGGCTCATATAGACTGTGTAGTACATTGTGGTACAGTTGTGTGGCGTGCACCACCAATTCCCCTCAAAAACTACTTTTCGCAAGCGCAGGTCCTGGGAGTGCGCCTGAGCAATGGTGCACCAATTTCGCTCAGCAGTTCTCAATAGTTCTGACATTCCACCCTTGCCGCTTGGAGTTCCAACCTTCTCCCCAAAACCAACTTCCCCTTGTTTCTGGAAGTCTCGGTGCTTGGAAGAGTTGCCTTGGCATCACCGGAAGGCCCAAACGGTCCACCGAAATCCGCCTGCACCACGTCGAAATCCGCCTGGAAGTTGGATGGCATGAACCTGCAGGAGAATGGTGGAAGAAGCCCAAACGGGCTCAGTATAGGCTGCCTGTAGGCTCTTGATTATTAACCTCCCCATGTAAAGAGGTGTTTCAATGGGCCCGTTAAGGCCATGAAGAGTCTACATTGTGGAAGGGCGCGGAGACCCCTCCACTAAAGGGGGGAAGCGACAGCGATGGCAGATGGCAGGATGAAAGACATGGCTCTCTACTAAGCCGAACTTTCGCTTCATCTTCAAATCCGAGGCTCGTGGGAACAATCTGATGATCTGGATTATATGCAGGATCGTGTCCCTGGACATCAATTGTTAACCATTTTCCATCTGTTCATTGCAAGTGGGGAAGCCAATCCCCAAATGGTTAAAGGCGAAGGTGATCCACTGATCGGGCAGGCGTCTGTGGCGCAGACTTTGGACAGTCCAGAACATCTGCTCAACCCAAGGCACTTTAGGCTGGCACCATTGCGCTTCGCAGCCTCCAAGGCAAACTCCTGGCTGTCCAACGAAAATGAACCAACACAATGTAGGACCTTGAACTCCTCCATATGAGAAGGTTTGTCAATCTCAAATGGGGGAAGTGATCTGCTCACGCTCCTACGACCACACCGAACGACAAACAAGTCTCTGACCTTGGCTTTCCATGTGGTGTGGGGAAACCAAGCAGTGCCTCTCGGTACCTCAGGTCTTGAAAGTCTCCCATCACCAGTTGGTCTGTCTGACCAGTACTTCGATGCCTCGAAACGTTCCAGCTAAAGATACGTATCTTTCAATTGTCCTAGGAAACGGTGCGTCTCGCTTCTGCCCAAACTAGACCCAAGTTCAGTAATTACTTGGAGATACTTAGAGCGTCCAAGAAGTTGATTGTGAACGTGTCACAGCACAACACACCGAGCTTCAGTACATGAACGTTCTCAGCGACAATCCCACAAGTGCCAGTACTTAAATTGCGCTTATTCAGGCTTGCATTGCATGATCTTCCACAGTTCCAGGAAGTACATCAATCTTTGTCGATGTTCTCGGAGGCCGATGGCACCGACGTCATCTTCATCAGGGCTCCTTGTCGACGCGGAGCTCCTCCGCCGCGAATTTGTAGCAAACCTCAGCGCTTTGCTGCGCAACGTTTCCGGAAGCGTTGCGGCTAAGCCGAGCGGAGAAAAGACCTCAGTCAAGCCTGGAGGAAGCATGTGTTTTTGGCGAAGCTAAACTCGGGGTCCAATGTGATCGAATGAGATCAGGCTCCACAGGTTTGCGTCCTGTGTCCTTGATTTGGTGGCTATGGAGGGGCACCCTAAATTTATGTTTGAACCACAACCAACCCAAAGCGGCATTAAGATCTTTCTTTGATTCAGGTCTCTTGCCAGCTGTGGGACCATATGCTTATGGGACATACATGGACATACCCCTGTGAGATCTTGTGGCGCATGATCCTCTTGGGGAGCATGATCTCTTGAAGATCTCTTGCGATTTATCCAAAATCCTTGATCTGTCTTTACACACCGGTGTTGACTAGATGCAGGTTCCTTCGGATCGTTGGTTCGAGGGCAAACGGGCCTTCCACAACCCAGGACTTCTTCATCAGCCAAAACTGAACAAGATTAAGATGTTGCTGATCGCCCCATGGCTGCCCCAGATACTAGTGGACAACTTAAGAGGATATGTTCGTTGATGTTGGGAACAAAATGCATTCAATTTATATAGAGTCTCCATATATAACTATAATCACCATGATGCATTCCTTCGCATTCACTTCTGGCAGTAGGATCTACACTGAGCGGATCTGAAACAAATCCCAAGAAACCGGATCATGGATGATCATCTCAAGGACGAAAGCTCGATCCTTGCGAGGCTTCACCCACATGAAAACAACGACCAACTCCAAAAATATTCCAAGAAGGATGAATTCACAAAGTGACAGATTCTTTCTGCAAGGAACTCAAAACAAAACAAGAGATGATAAGAATCTTGGCACCCTATGCAACCTCCATCTCCGCCCTAGTGATCCTCACGAACATCTGAGTTCATTTCGATTGGCCATGTTCACTTTGATTGCCAGTGATGAGAGATGTGTAATTATGCCAAACTCTGCCATGCTATTATGTGTTGCTAGTTGATGGCACGGTCATCCAACCAAACCCTCAAAAAGCACTGAAGCTTCTGGCAATTTCATCCTTGGAAAAGCAACCTTGAAATTCTTCTTGGTCTTCCGACGTGCCACTTCAAAAACAACTGCTAATGGCATTGGTTTAGAGTCTAGTGAATATAGAAGCCGTCAACAAAATATGTTACACTCTATGCGCAGTTCTATGGGATTGCCGGATCTGGCCCGTTCCATCCCCTTCCGCACCTCCTGCAAGGTGCGCGAGGCACCTTGCAGGGCGCCGCCGAAGCCCTTCTGCGCGGCTTCCAACAGGAAGGCCTGCCGCATGCGGCACGGAGCTAGGGCTGGGTGCTGGGAGGTCGCTGGGTGCTGGGCACCTCTGCTCTCTTCGACTGTACATCACTTCTGGAATGTACATGAAACGACCGGGACCCACTCCAGGGTCGAGTTGGGGCGGTAGTCACAGTTGGCCCAGAGGTGGTCAATAGAGATGTTTAAGAATCTTCTGGGATACAGGTGTCTGTGTGTGACGGGTCCGCAAAGGCTTACAAACCATTACACCCTGGAAGACGATCCCATGGACCCTGGAAAACCACGTCGGTTACGTAGCGGAAAAGCATGAAAACCAGGGAGCCATGGGACCGGGGTCTACATAAGTTCAGAAAACCCCAACACCACGTCGCCCGCGCAGTCCGTGCTTCGGCACCTTGTCGCCTCTGAAGGCCTCCGCGTGCTTCAGCGCCGCGCCGTGCAGGGCGACGGCCTCGTCATCGCGCCGAAGCAACCGGACCGGTGAGACGAGTTGAGGAATCCCCACAGCCCATGAAGGGGGGACCTTTCTCAAGAGGTTGGTACCTGGAACACATATACTGTTTAAAGTGATGTTCGTGGTACCTCATGGGGGTAACTTACATATACTTATATACATTTTCCATAGGTTGGTACCTGACCTGCTGCGGCATCACATAAAATTATCATCAACCATCAGTCAGTCATAAGATTCAGGTTTAAGACCACTACGCCACTCACTATTATGTAGCTATATGATTTTATATGGTATACTATATGATACTATATATGTGCATGACATGTGTTCAAGGCCAATCAGCTGGCCCTGGTCTCTCACTACGTCTCGCTTTCGGCGTCGAGCCCCATCGACTCGTAGGGTGGCGCCTTCATCACGCAGCCGCGCGAGCTGCGCAGCTCGGCGGAGGCGAACTCAAAGGCCTCGCCCAGGAAGCCCGTGGCCAGGAGCACCAAGTCCTGCCCCGGGACGACACCGGACCCGGACCCGGACCGCGACCCACGACCGTTTTGGGCAAGGATCCGAAAGAAACGAACTGCGTGGAGTGCGCGGCTGATGAGGAAGATCGATGAAACCACGCTACGGGTTGCTGGTAGGGGATCAAAACCACGCTACCCCTGCTGTGACTGAGGTGTTTGCACTCTTCAGCCCTCCCTCGATATTCCTGTCCAATCTTCCCAAGATGTGGCTATGGTATACAATCTATGTTTGTGCATGGCCAAACGGCGCCCAGTGCAGGCTGTGTCTCTGGTCTCCTTGGGGCCCAAAAAAACCCGCCGGTACCGAAGAGGGGGCCAAGCGCAGTAACAAGGGAAAGTCAAACACTTGAATATGCAATTTACGTGAATCAAGCACTGACCCAGCATGAGAAGTGCAACCAACTGAGTCAACTGAGTCTTCATATCTTCAAAGTCTCTAGGTATGTGGCAGGGGACTTCTTGGGACCAACTCGAGTGTTGGGGCCTGGCACGGGCCTTACATCCTGATGGCACCATGAAGTTGTTTCATGAAGATTTCGGAGTAGGCCAGGATCTCAACTTAACTGTCTAGCTTGCTCCATTTTCTCAACCACCACAGCCAAGTGTTCTTTTGTCGCCACTCCAGAGCTTTACGCAGGTGGGCTGTTCAGGTTGACGGTTGGTTTTGCAACGAACTCAGCTGCGTGGCGTTGCCAGAACTCGTTTGGCACCTCGTCGGACCGTAGCTCGGGTGCCGCATGTTTCAAGGCACGGCCCTGGCTGGCGCGCAGCGCGCACTCCTCGGTCGTTCGACACGGTGGTTCCTTAAACGGCACTGGAAGGGAAGGAGAATGAGAAGTCCAAGAGAAGGCAGAAAGGCCTTAGATTCTAAGGCTTCTGATGTTCAATGATGTTTATGTTCTTGGAAGAAATCCAGAACCAGTCCAAAGCCGCACAAACCGCTCCTGTTCAGGCCTTTGTTGGATCCCTTGGCTCCAGGAACGTTCGAAGACCAATGGTCTTTAGATGTCTTTAGGGTCTTTGGACCACTTTGATCAATTTTGCATCTCTTTGTCCAGACCTCCCACCACTTCCACCAGCTGCCTCCTTTGTCGCAACTTAGACTAGTTTAGGATTAGACATTAACTGAATAAATCGTGTAAGGTGCCACCGGATACAGTAACCCCAAACACTTACGAGGTGTCCTTCTGTGATCTTCTGTGTGCTTTGGACATCCCCCCCCTTTGTTGGAAGGCCCGGAACTGGCTCAGTGTCACGGTTCCCGGCCGGGGCACCAGCAGGGGCTTGTCGCTTTGAATCTCTGGCGGCGCATCCGCCAGCACCTGCCAATCCTTCAGCACCGCAGCGGACCACCTAAGGTGCGACCGGTCATGGCTGAACCCAAAATCAGGTCGTCACGGGTCGTCACGGGAAAACCACATGGATGGCCTGGAGGGGGCGAAGGAACAAACTATGAACTGTTCCTGGTGTTTCCCTCTGTCAGTTCCTCTCGTGCGTTTTCGGGGTAGCAACTCTGAATCCAACGACTCGAGCCCCTGGTATCGCACCATCACCGCTCGTATCGCTTCCAGCTACCTACTTTGTTGCTGGGTCGTTCAGGGCCTGATTCAACAACTGGGATCATCTTCTGTGTCCGGCGTTGTTTCAATGAACCGTGCTCAATCCCAGCTTGGATAGACCGGGTGGATATGGGTGGATCTCTTTTTCGCCAGCTGCAGGGTACCTACCCCTTCGGAGACCTGGGCATCAGCATGCTCCCCAGCCACATGTTCTTCCGCCAGCTCTTTGGATTCAACGTAGCTTTCCCGCTCTCCTGCAAGATCTGCAAGTGAAGCCGACGGCAAGATCTGCACAAAACATGTTGTTTCACACCACGCCCACCCCTCGTGCTGCAGCTCCACTCCGCCGACGCCGACTGCGCCGACTGCGCCTCGGTGTTGGGGAGGCTCTTTTGCTTGGCCGCTGCCATGCCACTTTGAGCTACGCTGGCAGCCGCCAAACGTGACAGGTCCACATCCACCTGGCAGGACCGTGACAAGTCGCCCCCGCGAGTCCTCCGTGCGATCTCCGCGAGTCTGGAGAGCTTTCGGCGTTGGCAGCTTGGGTAGTTTCATGTGAAGGAACCGTCCCTGTCATTTGATGTATATAATTTGTATGAATTTGTATGATCCGGATGAACTCCAACATGACCCTATATGATCTCGTGTAAACTGCCCGCACTTCTGGAAGCTTGGCATGGGTTGCATGCGTGTTGGTCTTCACTCCTAAACTCATGAAGATATGAACCTGCTTGGCCCCACTTCTTTGATAACCCCAATGAATCGAGTCCCTAGACCATCGAGTCCGGGGGGGGTTGTTCGCTCACCCAGCGTAGGAGGCTCATGGAAGACGACACGAGCTGATGTGGCCGGATGTAGCCGCTGCGGCCTCCTCCCCCTGGGTCTTCTGAAGGTTGGTGTAGGCACGACGCAGCTCCGCTTCCTGCATCTAAGCAAAGTCCCAAGCAAATCAACCAAAGGATTTCGAGCCACGCACCACCGTTCTGGCGTTCTCAAGAGTTGCACTGCTTCTTTCTCAGCTTTTGAAGCCACCAGCTACTGAGTAGCCAGAAAGAAGGGCTAATCATCTAATCATTGAACACTTGGAGGATCTTGTAGGCAGCGGTGGTATGAGGTGATCCTGCAAAAAGGGTCAGAGTCCTTTCCCAGATTTGAAAGCTTGGAGGACCCAGATGAAGAGGACGTGTACCTTTTCAGTTCCGAGAAAAAAAACAAAGACTCTCTTTTCCTACACAAGGACTCCAACGACTCACCACCGAAAACCCCGCGACACGTGCTCATCTCCTCGGCCGCGGGGAGGTCGTTGATCATCTTGTACTCCTTCCGCAGCTTATCAGCACTCTTGTTATTCGTCGCGCACGCAATCCTGGGCCCGGAGTGTCGTTCTGCGTCGTTCTGTGTCGCTGGGCAGATTCCTGGACACATGGCATTGATGTTCTTGTTGCGGGCTACTGGTACTGCTTTACGTCTAAGCAGTGGCACCTCCCCGATTCCAACGTCCGATCCTCAAGGCCCAGGGCGGGACCGTTGAGCACTCATCTTGGGCTCTATTCACTTGTCTGGTTAGGGAACTCTCTTTAGCTCAGAGTTCGGCTCCTCTGGGACGGGAATATGGCCAGGTCCCGGCGAATGTACGGCTCCGTCTAAGCCACCAGCCACATCAAACAAACATGTCCGTTCGCTCAAGGCGAGAAGTCGGATGCGAGTTTCGGGCGATCGCTGGTCATGCGATCGAAGGTCTTGAAGATTTGGAAACCCACCACGTCACGCCGCCTTCCGCGCTGGAGAGGCATGAAACCCTTCTTCCATCTTCTTCCTCTCATTCCCCCCCCACCACGCCCCCCATCTTGTTTGACTCACAGCCAAAGAGCTTGGCATTCACCAAGAAATCGAGCGATGGAATGCCCAGTGTGGTGGCCGCAAAGCCAAGGTCAAATAACAAATCATGGTCCACGTTGACGAAGCCTCACCGGTTCGAGAGTCGGAGTGAATTGGATTGGGTGGCCTGCAGGTCACTGACTGGGTCACTGGGTGATCAGCTTGGTCCAGCACCACCCCAAAAATCCCAACATCTATCGCTTGGTGTGTACATATAGGTTCTCTATGTGTATACATATATATATATATTATATACAGTATATGTGTGTGTGTTATACCATTTATATGTATATCTCATGTGTTCATCTTGGTGTCAGGAGGTCCTTCATCTTCAGCACCCGGAGACTGACACCCCATGTCACACTGTGCCCCGCCGGAGCCGCGGGGTCCAACCGGCCCCTGATCCTCCTACCATCGCCCAGCGGGCCCAAGCGGCTACAATCCCAGCGTGAAGCGCCGCAGTCCCGAAGGTCGTCACTGGGCAAAGGCGTGATGATCTCGCTGACGCTGTGTTCGCGATGGTGCTTCAAGTACTCGCACACTTTCGTCATCGTGTCTCCTCAGGTCCAAGAATGTCACGGCAGGCAATGTGATTGGGTGACCATGATGGACCATCGTTCTAGAATGGTTCATGCTTCTGATAACTCTGGTCAGTTCCCTTTGGCAAGCGGCAAGCAGCTTGCTCGCATGAAATTTGACTGCAATCCAACTATGCCATACATGGAGTGTCTGGGCATCTCTCCAAGAATCTCTTGATCTCAAACCGCAAGGTGTTCTCCAAGCCATGCTCGCGATGCTCCAGCCTCGCATCAGAAAGGTCACTTCTTGTGTAACTCCAAAACCTTGAGCTACCAACAAATGTTGAAGAACCCTATAGACTATCCTATAGGTACCCCTGTAGGGTCCTATTTACGGTCACTTAACCTCTGTTGGTACGGGGAAAAGACTTACTAAACATGTTGACTCGACTTCGAGAAACATGTCAAGTGATCTATGTTTGCGGACGGGCGACCACCGTCCGAGAGAGGTCCCGCAAGGGTTGAAAATTTGCCATTTGCAGTGTGGTCACCGTCCCAAGGCTGGTTGCCCAGTCTTGTCATGGAATTCCAAGCGGGTAGCAGAATTGATCAGATTGATGGCTCAACTACGGGTTGTGTTTCTCGGCTCTGTCACAGCAAATGGCACAAGATCCAAGGCCATACAGATCCATACAGGTCAGTATCATCGGTCTGTGGTCAGGCGGAGAAGTTTCATCTAACCACTACCTGGCAGGTGTATGCAGCGCTGTATGCAGCGCTGTTTCCGTGATCTACTTTCTTTAATCGTCTGGGAGTCAGATTCGGAGTCCATCCGCGGCGCGATTGGCTCCGAGTGGCAGGAGGCTTCGAACACGACCCGCCAGGCAAGCAGCTTCAGCAGGAAGCTCGAAGGTGTTCCCTGCCCGGCTCGGTTGCTTCGGCACCGGTGACGGACCGACACGGTGCGACCTGACTGCCCTGCCACACCGGTCTCGTCGGGTCTTCAAAGGCACCAACCTCAACAGGAACCTCCGGTCAGGAGGGTGGAATGAACACAAACCTGCAGGGGAAGATGCTTGTTTTCGGGCCATGTCCAATTCTGCAGGTGAATCCAGTCAACTCTGCTGCTCTGCGAAAACCAAAAACCCGCCCACAACCTCTCAGAGACCGGCGCCTTCCAAGCATTCGATGGACACCGTTCGCCCGCGCAGCTCGCTCGGGCAGGAGGGCCCTCCACGGCCAAACTTCAGGCAGCCTCGGCCCAGGTCATTTGGAGGAGTGACAGCCATTGGTATTCGCTGTACTCGCTCCATAGCTCCCTTCGTAGAGGGGAAGGTGCTGTCATGCCAGCCTCCTGGTTAGATCTGGGGCTCGGCGTCTATAGGTATAAAGGATGAATATGGAAGCAGCCGCCTGGTTGAACTCATGACTCTTGTGGGCCCTCTATCCCCATCCCAACAAAAATGGAGCTTGGAAAAACGTGGGCCCTTCATCCAAGTTCTTGACCAGCCACCGCTGCCAGGTGAATTTTGGAGGAGAAAGTTCTTCCTGCACGGACCCTGAAAAGCAGGACATATTTGGACCCACAGGGCCCACAAGCTGGTGTTTTCATGGACGCCCCACCAGATCACCTCCCTTTTGCGGGGCGGTGACGGCTACACACCCCGGGACTTTGTTTGGCACAGGTTTTTGAAGCCACCTTCACCTTCGAACGTCCTTGGTCCTTATGGGTCTTGAGGTTCACCATTGGAGATTCTCCACGTCAACCGGGTTTTCGGGGGCCACAGGTCACCACCCCCGCGGTGAGCCGTCTTGTGGGGCGCCCTATGGGTTGACAAAAGGTCCACCCAGGTCACAAGAAGTCAGCGGCACTCAAACGCAACCCAGTCATTTCGATGACCAAGAGCAAGTATGTTCAAGTGACTGCGCCCAAAAAGGAGAAGTCCGAGGGGTCCACTTTACACCGTTACACTGTTACACTATACTCACAGGTACCCGCTAGACTATATACTTGACAACGCAGCGAGGGGATAGCAAAACACAGTTGTCCAGCCTTTTCGTTCAGCCGTGCCTTCCCCGTTCACGTCCGGAGTCCGGGCCTTGGACTTCGAAAATCTCCCCGGCCATGCCCGTTCTCCTTGGCCAGGGGCGCGGGTGGGGATCCAAGAGGATCTAACTAACAGCCCTAGACAGATTGATTTGGAAACAGTTGGGAGGAAAACAGAGCGAAAATGTATACCCAAACACTCCATGGGGCTGGAATATATGCCGACATTGACATAAGACCCCTGAAACAACCACCCCAACTGATCGGCAAATATGGTATACATATGCAGTCCCATGGACGTGTCTGGGATCTGAATCAACTTCAGGTCACTCTATGTCCCTCCCATGGCGTCAGAGTCTTGAGCCCAATGGCAGCGAGACAGGTCAGATGTAACAAGGATACATCAACATCTGCAGCAGTCACCAAGGGGTGCGATCCATGGAGGTTAGGGGTGCCCAGAACATCCACTCGCCAAGGGACTAAAAACCACCCCTGTGTGACTCCTGGTGTATTTTTTAACATGGAAGTGGAAAATGGGACCCTGGCTATCCTGGCTATCCTCTACAAAGAGGGGGTGACCTCCACTTCCATGTTAGTGAGTCAAAGTGTATTACCGTACTTTTGGGGCCGACAGTCGAGTCAGTTGAGTCATCGGGTGGGTTCCGGTTCGACTCGACATCCGTTTCAGTGGGTCAAGTGCCTGAGATCCTTTAGTAGAACCGCTAGGGCCATCTGGGCACCTCATATCCGAAAGATTGTTCAGAGTCTCGGACCCAGCCCTTCAGACCAAGGGGACCTCCTTGGGGCCCTGCTTGAACCTCTAGATTCAATCTTGTGGCAGCTTTCGTTCACCCCTTGTTGCTTACTAGGCCAGTTGATCCGTTCTAGGCGTCCCGCAGCCGTCGATGGGCTCCTCAGAGCCCAACCACCAGCCCAAACTGAGTGCCAAAAGTTCCCGATCCGCATGAGCCCTTGATCATCTCTAGTAACTCTAGTAGCTTGCCAGTGGCCAAAAACAACAATTCTTTCAATACACCCTCTAAATCCCTCTAAATACAAAAATCAACTTGGACCTTTCCCGGGAAGTCCAACACCGAGACCATGGAGGCCGTGCCTTGGTGACCGGGTCCATCGTCCACCTGGCGTGCTTTCGGGGCGCCACGGCACGCCACCACGGCGTTCGAGGGAAAACGTCTCAGTAAGACGAGGACCTAGAAGTGAGCGAAAATCGACCTTCCAAAAACCTTCCTGAAAGGAGTGGAGCCACTCTGAGACTCTGGCGCTTCTGAATGGAATCGGCTGCTGGTGTCATTTTTGGGGGGGGGGGCAGCTCTATCCAAGCGTTGCCCGTGTCATCCCAACGAAATGGAAAAAATCATGAAACATATCACGAAACATCCTTAGCTCCATATGGACCTCATTGGGGAACAAAGAAAGGGATGTTCCATCTCCAAGAAATGGATGTTCCATCTACTTGTGGTCCACACCATAATCCACACCGGTTTGACCCTGGCGGAGCGCTGCGCCTCGACAGCTGGGAGCGCCCCGACAGCTGGGAACAGCTGAGGAACTGAAGAGATCAGAAGGTCTCCAAATCACTGCCTGGCACCGCCCAGTCGCCACCAAGGTTCTGCCGGCAGAAGCGATCGCCGATCGCCCGGTGAATTACGGGTCCCAAGGCCGGGGTTTGGCTGGTGCCTGGCGGTGTTTTTTTTTGGGGGGGGGAGGGGGTGCGGCATGCCAGAGGGCGGCCTGAGGAACAACAACAGTGCCGTTTCTGTGTTGATGGAAGGTGATGACTGAAGAGCCACCAGCAAACTTGCTGTCAAAGGTCACCAATTTCCAAACAGTTTTGTTTAAACCCCGGTAGGTGAGTGGACGGCGCAGTGGACGGCCCTCCAACCATATGGAACTCAAGGTGTTTCCAGGGTTCGACCTATGCTTGGTGGATTTCGACCTAGCACGGACGGCTCAGGAAGTGGGTCGACTACGCACTCATGAAGCATAATCAAATGACAAGGGCACTGTGCACTTGACTCGAATCAGAGCCTAATCAAGGTTAATTGAAGTCAACTTAGTGTGGCTATCGGTATACCTGCTTTCGATGTTGAACCTACTTGGAGCATTGGGGCACTTGAGACAGGCCCACATATGTCACATTGTCTAGAGTCTAGGCGGTCGTGGAAGCGGTCGGTCAACATGGAGTTGTCGAACAAATGCACTCATGAACCGCTCAAGAGTTTTCCAGCAAAGCAGTTATATTACTTTCATTTACTCTCCGGTTCTTCGCGCCATTCTGCCACAAGTTTCTCGGCAGGTTCAAGGCTGAGCTCGGGGTTCTGCACTGATTGCCAACAAGCCGCTCCCTCCCAAAAGAACAAACCATGACACAAAGCGATGTTGATTCCTCAAAACCATCCAAAACCAGGGTTCTTTCGACGAAGACCCTCCATTATCCCCTCCATGTTTATCGCCGTTTACCCAGTGCCCTTGAGGTCCCCAGAGTCTCAGGTTCCCTCTGGCCTAAGTCGTGCTCCTAGGCCATGCTCCGAGTGCGGATGGCAACTCGCTCGTGATGGAGAGAAGAAAATTCATCCTTCATCCTGTTTCATCCCTACCAATCTGATCCAAATCGGGGGGAATGAAGACCAAGATTCCAGACCCAAACGAGCAGGCACTGGCAGGAACTCAACGCTTTAGATAGGTACATATCGGTACACCATTCCCTATATAGGAAGTGATCGTTGTAAGGCTTTGTCGAAGCCAGGAGTTTGGGGGCTGTGCCTGCAAACATTTGACTCATGCACTGCCCTATCATTATTGCTTCGATGAGCTTCCGCAAAGGGAAGAACATGCGCCCATGTGCAGTATCAAAAGCTGAACGTGGATAAGTGCAGCATCAGAAGCTGCGTGTGGATATGTGCAGCGGATGTTGAAACTTGAGGGGGAAACCAAAAGGATGGTGACGAACTGCAGCAGTTGAGCTCCATCTGGAAGGAAGAAAATCGGGCACCCATCATCATTTCTCACTAACCTCCTTATGGTGCTTTAAGAGGTTCGATGGCACTGGCCGCTGGCACCCCAAAATGTCTGGAAAAAAAGACAGGGGTCCATATAAGCAAGCGTTTGAGGATTGTGCCATCTACTTTGAAATCACAGACTCAGAGTCCTGACCAGGACCCGTCGGTTAAAGAGCCCCCTGTCATGACATAGAAACTACATTCATATTATGAAAATAATACATATATATATATATTATTTAAAACAGTGTATATATATGTATATGAGCGAGATGCTATATGTAACTAAACGTGTAGTCGTAGTATTAAACCAATAATTACATAATTACTAATAATATCAAAAATAAAGCAACTAAATCGACTCAATCCTGCTGGTGTGTTGTCTTCGCCCCTCGCTGCGCAGCTCCCCGATCTTCCCCTGGCGGGCCAGGCCGCCTCGGCACCTGACTCCTCGTCCGACTGGAGGACGCCGGCCTCCTTATCCAGGGAAACCGTCACCAACCATCCATTACATAACTTTATATATAACCCACTGATTGCTAAAGACATCCCAAGACATATTTTGCAATCCTTCTTTTGTTTGCTTTATGAGTCTGCAATTGGGCACCATCGAAAACCCTTACTAGCAAAGAATCAAATCAATTCTACTCAATTGTGTTCTTTAAAGGGTCTTGCAAAGACAAAGGTGTGCCCTTCAATTTGGCAGTGTGCGTGTGTGTGTGTGTGTGTGTTAAATTCTTACCCTAAGAATCTGGGCCCTCGAATGGAAAGGGCTTGGTTCCGGTACGGACCCCTGCGAAGAAGTCGGGTCAAACCCCCGTCATGGAGGGTCCAAGGATTCTGTGTAGGTGATTTTTGGCCTTGCAAGTGTTTTCTCGGGACCACTCATCAAAAAGCACGTGTCTCCGCAGTCCTTGTGTGTGTGCGCTCTTTTTTGGGGGGGAGAGACCTCTCATGTTCTCGAAGCCTTGCCCCTCAGCAAGGCTTACATGCCCGGAAGGCAAAAACATAACCTACACAATCCCACACACATCTAAAACCTGTCCAGAATTGCTGGCAGTTGGTGGTGGGGGGGTGCTTTTCATGGCTTTTCGTTAGGGAGGCGGAGGGCGGATTCAAGAAATACTCCTCCTAATGTTGGCCAGGGACTCGCAACTCTGCTGCTGCGTACTCCGCCAACTCCGCACCCGACTGCCTGGGGGATGGAAGATCTGAAGAAAGA